CTCGTGTTAATGTGGTTATTAATCATATTAACACGAGAGTATTGATATATTAATCACTTATTAATATATCAATACTAACAATATCTGATACAAATAGGTGCCGTGTAAGTACAGAGTATAAAAGTAACATTTTTCAATATATTGACTGTAAAATAAATATTTAAAAATTGAAATTAATGTATAAAATTTCATGTTATTGTTATAAAATGTGTATTATTTACGCGTATTTGTTCCCAGCAACAAATACACATTTTATAACATTATATTTATGTTTGAGAATAGGTTTATGTAGTAGTTTCTATATTATATCTTTCATTATACTCAATACTAGTCTCTCGCGGCGGTTGCATACATAATTTTTAAATTTCTCGGCTTTTCTGTACTACTATCCTTTTGAATCGCAAATCCCTTACCTATCTATTGTTAGAACTGCATTCCTGCAAAATACGTTCCGTATTTTAAAAAATCTAAGCGTAATAATAGCGGCAGTCAGAACTCTGTTTTATATTATGTAAAATAAAATATGTAGAATTGGCGTAGAGTCGACATTAAGTATTATTAATTGAGGATTTATTTATGGGTATATTTTTTTTAAACTTACTAGACAAGCTGACTGTGTATTATTTTACCTACAAAAGTCAAAATAATGTTTTTTAGTTGTAGTATGACTATTTATATACGTAGCCGTCATCGTCAATATTACAATATTTAAATACGTCTCACAGCTGTATTTAGCACAGAAATTGAAACGAAGGTCTGGACTTTATCCAAGATTCCAGACACAACCTGCATGACGGGGACAGTTTTTATTTTTACCAATTTATAATCAACCTACTGTTTTCCGCGACTTTGTCTGAATTTTTTTGAGACAAATTATGACCTATTTATGTTCTCTTTACACAACTTATCTTCACGCCTTTATTAAGATCCGCTTATCCTTTTAGGTGTGAAAAGGTAATAAACAGATGCACTTTCGCGTTTATTATTTGAATGGAATATTGTGTTTTTTAGTTAAAGAATCTTGCACAGTTTTGTCCGCATTTAATTGCAGCGATATCGTTATGCATTTGTGATTTATATTGAAACATATGAGTCAATATCAAGTCCGTAGGGTCTATCGATGCGGATTTTAGAATGAATTACTAGTTAGTAGAATTGACGATATCATCACCCAAAAAAAATTACTGGTTGAAAAACACTGTTATTGAATTTTTTAATTTGTATATATATTATAGGTACCAGGATCAATTATTTTATTTTAAAGTTATTTTTATATATATTTTATGAAATATTGATGTAATAATAATTTGTTTCAAATATTTACAAATTATTAATGAAGACTAATTTTAGCATTTATAACTACAAGAAGAATATCATTGGTTATCCACCAATTGGTTATCTAACAATGATTTTGGCGATTATTATTTATTGCTGTTGAAAAATGCAACTACACATGGTTCTAAGTTTGATTTTAGAGTCTTTATGTTTGAGTACGACAGCAGCGTTTACACACACAATACAAATTTATTTAAGCTTCAACTAGGTATTGAAGAGTTTGTCCCACACGAAGCCCTATCTACCTAACAATACTAAGGTAGATTTACTGTTGCACCACGTGGGGCAACGTCCGCCAGCAATGACGTCAGTGCTATCTATTTGCGTCTCAGTTTGACTGGTAACTGTCAAACAGTAGATTATCAGACTGCATGCACACTTGTTTAATGATATATTGCACAGCGTTGCACTTCAGTTTGTTTCGATTCAACATCTTTGTGAACAAGCGTGACCTGCTTTCCATCCATACGTCATTATTAATATTTTAAATTCAATATGTCTGTCTATCTATTTGACACGGGTCTATGGGAGAATGTAGTTTGGGGTTTTAGGGCGAGCCCTACCTTCGGCCTCTAGCTTGCAGGTTCTTATGGCTGGTACTTTTCCTATGACGTACAAAACTCATGTACTACAAGCTGTTACCCGTCACTACGTTCGAGTGGATAGAATTTTTTTTATTAAATTAATATTTTTTTAAATCAAAGTAGCTTTTACTCCAAAAAGTAGTTAATCAAAGTAGCTTAGAAAGTCCCGTTAAAACCGGTGCAGCGATTTCAGACATTATTAAAAGAACAAACAGACAGAAAGGCAACAAAATGTTTTGACGTCAATACAGTCTATACATTTATATGCAATTAGTGAAAGTCTGTTAGTTAGTAATTACAAACAGACACTTAAATTGTATTTATATAATATATATTTGAGGGTTTATTGTATTTCTTTATCTGTTTGTTACCTTTTCACGTCTAAATGGTTTAACACATCTTAACATAATTTAATATGAAGATAGATTGTATCACTAGGATAATTTTATGGTATCTTTTAACTCAAAAGAAATCTGACGTAATCCTGGGTAACAGATTGCAGTAAAATATAATTTAAAAGCAAGTCAGAAGATGAATTAACATGCACATTAAAATTACATAAAAGGAATACGTGTAATCAATATTTAAAGCAACAGTCGTAATGCGAATATAATATTGGTATTGGATGGGATTCATCCGATGTATAATGACGGCGCTATCTTTTATAAAATACGCTTTTATCGCGATGTGAAGGTAAAACATACAGAATATTTTTTATATATACGTTTTTCATTAAATTTTGCAGTAGAGTTGTCGCAAGCAGAATAATATATGAACCGCGTCATTTTCAATGGTTTTATATATGTAGTACAACACGCAAACAATTAGATTAACTAACTATTGTAATACTATTAATTGTTACATTCCCAAATAAAAGCAACTCCAGCTTTTGCTTGGTTATGTAACAAAACATATTTCAACAATCAGACCATCAACTTTTCTATGATATATATTTTGATATAATTATTATGACTAATGGTCATATAGTTGCACTGCATGCACTGAACTTAATTTATTATGATTATATTTGACAATTAGTAGAACTATAGTAAAATGATATTCAAGACAGACAATATTTATCTATTCTAAATTTGACCACAGAATTTAAAAAATAAGCAAAGAATACTCTTTGCTTATTTTTTAAAGTCTTACACACACACGCGTGTGTGTAAAAAAATATTACACTCACTACCGTGTACTTGGTAGTGAGTGTAATATTTTTTTTATTGCTTTAAGGTATTTTATATCCATAATAAAAAAAAATATTAGCACTCTGCACTCCTCTGTATAAACTATAAGTGTAATTTTTGTAAAAAGGGGTACAAAGTTTTTGCTTCACGTATTAATATATAGATATAATTATGTAAAAAAAACAAATTTATTTAAAGATTGCCCTACCATTTGACATTAGGAAGTCAAGTGTTTACTATACAATTTAGTGATGTCGTAATCGTTCTTTGTCATTTAAACGGCATCAATGAAAAGGACGAAGAGTCAATAAGCTCATATTGCGTATATATGGATGTATGTATATTTTATGAACAGAAATGTACTTATTTTCATGTCGGTTGCACTCAATCACTTTTTATTGGATTGTGTTTTTTAATGAATGATAATGGATTAGTGTTCTCACCTGCGCTAAGGGTATACGCTGGCGGGGCACCAGTGGACGATGACAAAAGATTGAGCCTGAGGTTAAATCAGTTAGCCTACCATAGCTAACTACCAGTTTCCATATAAACCGATAGTTTCCAGGGGGAATCGAGTCTAGGTCAAACTCACATTATGTCACGCACGAGTTATTAGTGATGGAGAGACCCATTATTACCAATATTCCAAATCAGGTCGACATCAACGCGGTTCACTCTGGTTTACTCTTGAGATAGTTTCCTCATCTTATCATACTTTAGTCTTTTAAAGAAAACCAATACACAGCTTGAATTTTATAATAATTTTGAAAATAATTACATATTTAAAGTTGGTAACAAAATAATATTCTTATATCTTCTGGAAACTAAGTACAAATTTAAGAGGTCGGTGATCATCCAATGTAGAATAGGCAAGTACGTCGAGTTTCCACTAACGTAAGCTGACACCTCCATTAGAAATTACGCTGTGGCGCGACATCTCAGATTTCCTGAAACATAGACATAGTCGTGCGTGCCAGATTGGGGATTTATCCTCAAAATTTATGGGGATGAGTGGAAATTTGGGAGGAAACATTTAAGAGTATCGGGAGGGTGGGGAAGGCGGGATGTAGAAAGAAAGAACACAAAAGTAGCAAGCTAAACAGAATTAGATCAACATAATTTGACAGATGTAAGATACATTTATATTAATGTACAATATTAGATAGTGAGGAAGTAAAAGAGAACTAATAAATATATATATATATATATATATATGTATATATAGGTACGTTCTTAAGTGGTCTTTGAGATCCACCCCTGTCGACCGTATCTGGTACAATTCAATAGATAAGATTATTTTTTAAATAAATATTTTCTTCATTTTTAAGTATTCATCGGTGTACCGTTTTTGTGGACAGCAGCTGAGGCCCTATTTTTTATATACATATCACAGAAAGACCGCTTTATGTAAACCTATAATATTTTATTAACATATTTTATTTATGCTAAATTATTTTCTGTCTGTGTAGCGCCAATTTGTGTTAGAATCTTGAAATGTATCTCATGTCATACCAGGCATTATGAAACTGTATTTGTCAAGCTTCGTGCTTCTTTTTTTATAACTTACTTCTATATTTCTGCCTTAGTAGGTATTATTTTTATCATGCTTAGTTACAGACAATAGAGACTTAACACAAAAAATATCTTTGTGTAATGATCATTCCTACTATGCATAATTTTGTAATTAATAGGTACTTTAGTTGACGTAATTTTTCTACCCTCATTGTTCATTCATTCATTCTTTGACTTTGTTGACCGGCAGCAGATATTACACGGTCATTGAGAAAAGACACGTACAAAAATCTACCCGCGCACCGCACCACACCACCGCAAACCCCCGGACGCCAGGTTACCCGACCAATAGCGCGCGTTCGCCAGTCATCGAGCGGCTGTCGTTGTAAGCGCGTTTCTGCGAGAAAATATTTTAATAACATTGTTGAAATGACATGCGCGCAGTTATTCTAAATTTGTGACTAAAAACATACAAATTAAGTGGATTTCAGTGGTCGAACAAAGTGACAGTGCTGTGTTTTTCGATAATCCTTTGTAAGCTTTTTGATCGCGTATGTTTTAAACATTGGTGCAGTGTTTATGTTCTAACCGAGGCGCCCGTTTCGTCCGGCGTGCTGGAGGGACGTCGCCCCCGAGGATTCTTAATAGAGGTGAGGCGCTAAGACTTGAACTTGATTATTTTAGCTTTTTGTTGGTTGAGAATAGGAATACACTCTGCGTCTGCGGTAGTCGTAGCTTTGAGTGTGATGATTTATAGTTTGAAGCTCGTTGCTGCGCCGGAGACGAGGTTACTATAACGTGTATAAATCCGGTTACCGGCATCGTATTCGTAATTATTGTTGCACTCTGCATTATTCATTGAGATTTGTCTTCAACATGTAATTAACTTACTGGCCAGCAATTTAATTTGTACTTTTAATTCAGACTTCAAGTTATTTAATTTAGTCTAAAATATAAAATTAAGTTGCTGTAAATTTGTCAACACTTTAACTATAACGTAGGTTTATAACTTATTATTTTAATAGTAAGTACAGAATAGGTTTTAGATTCTATCAACTTATCATTTTATTTACATATAATATATTCGCTTTTTCTTAAGTGTGTCTGTAACTATATTACTCCAGTGTCTATCTAATTAGGTATTGTGTAATTATTTTTATGATGTATTATTACTTACCTTCCTTTCCGTTCCTACCTTCGCCAAAACTGAACTTTTTTCGATGATTCTTTGTAGGTACCTAGAAATATTCCAATTTTTTCGCAAGTAACAATATAAATGAATAAACTGTTTTTTATTATGTGTAACAATATACCTACCTACTAGTCTAGACAGCTTTCTTATCATTACGCACTATCATCTAACTCACAAAATAATACCTAGGTTAGGTCAAATAGCCGGTTTACCGACTACTACGGACATTTTTATGAAAAATTACAATGTAACAAACTTATATACGGTCTTATTACAAAAAATCTGTTAAAACTCGGACGAAACGTGGTCTAAATGGTCGTGGTTTAAACCATTCCTAAAGTTAATACTTGGAATAAACCTAACATTATTACGAATCCAGATCTAACAGAGGACTACTTAGTACTACAGTTAAATCGTTCATTATGTATTCCATACAGAAATCAGTCACTCATGTCTGTCACCGTACAATTACGTTCCATTTTACCAGAAAACTGAAAAGATCAAAAATAATATTAGTTCAAAGAAAAATGTATAAACTAAAAATAAATTTATTTCTATTTATCTATGTCTTCATTATAACTATTTCATTAATATATAATATTTATTAATGTACTATTAGGCTGAAAATCAGTTTTAAATTATAAGTAGGAGTCCTATACGGAGAAAAGGAACGGCGAGATATTTTTATTGGATCGTTCGAATGATGACTATTTCAAAGTCAAATGAGTGAAAAAATAACAATTAACGTCTTTTATATGTTTTTATTGTCGTAAAATTTGCTTTAAATATTTTTAGTTAATACATTTTTAATTTAGTTAAAATATTTTTCCAAAAACTACAACTAACAATAGAATTTTTAAAATGGAGTTTGTATTTTTGCATTTAGACCACTGTTAAACTAGGGGCATCGCAGGTCTAACTTTAGACCATAGACGAATCACGATTTAGAGATAAACTTCATTTTGTAATAAGGAATACATTGGTGAATGGTTTATTACTAGTGCTAAACCAGATTTATCTTTTTGTAATAAGGCCGATAAAGATTAAAAGATTGTTTTAGTATGTTGCATGAGATTATCGGCATAAATATCACCAGGGTTCATATCCTTTTAAATATTATACAATGCATTTTAGTGATCGGAAAGCATCAGTTGTCGACCATTAATTTTATCCATAGAAAAATATTAATTTTCTGTCGTTTCATTCTGGTGATTTTGCTATGTCGTAAACCTCCCATTTGACAGATATGTATATATATGTATATATGGACCCGCTGTAATCCGGCCCCCCTTGTAGTCCGACATGCTCTATTATTTATTATTGAATATTTTTTTGACAATATACTTCATAGTGCATATACATACATACATATATAACATAGAATCTTATCACTGGATCTGTGATTTATTAGATTACAAGATACTCTTTTGTAAAAAAAAAAAATTGCTCTGTAGAGGACCCTTAGGCAGCACTCTATAATCTATAACAAATTCGATGGTCCGACACTGCCCTGCAAAACGTTTGTCCGATAACCGGGGGTCCACTGTATATATATAGAATCGTCTGTATGTACCTACACTTTTGATGCGATTTATACCTTAACTACGTGGTAAGTAGCTATGTGTTTGAATAAATATAATACCTTTTGAAATTTACCTATTTTATTAATATTTCAGGAATAACTGCATGAGATTAACTCACGATATTCAAAGAAAATCATTCATAATAAATCACCTGTGTGTGCGAAGTTACTACCGCTCTTTGCACTTAGTATTGGCTATTTTATTTATAGACAAATACAACATTAGAAAAAGATTCACACACATACAATAGTGAACAAAGAAATATTACAAGTACCCATGCAATTTATATGAACAGATTTTTTTTTCATTTAGCGGTATATTTAATTAACAATTGTGTCTTTATGTCGGAAGTAATTATCCTGTTTCTGTATTATTATTATTACATATAATAATTTCGTGAAATCGTGACAAGGAAACTTCTTCACATATTTCAAAGAATACGTTGTTAAATTTGGGTCAACATATGTGCTAAAGAAAATCGAGAAAAATACTCCAAGAGTGAATATTAATTTTGTGAATAGTTAGAACAATACGCCGCGGCGCCGCGCCGCCTTCCTTTTTTATTAGTTAATTTATTTAATAAGACTATATCTGGCGTCGTCGTGTTGATATTTTATTCATTGTAATCGTTTAGTTATTATCAATAGATGGCGCTTATTAATGTACAAGTGCTCGAAGTCTCGGGTACAACTAAGTAAATGAGAGAATGATTTGTCAAACTATGTATGTATGTATGTATGTATTATTCTTAGGTAGGTATATTATTATTAATCGTTAAGTTTACATGGAAATCTTTCTATAGTTTCTTTACCTATTCATTAATTCTGTAGACCGACATTTTAACTATAAGATATACTAAGATTGTTCACTATTATGTAAATATATTTATGGCACATTAGGAAAACTACCGAATTACAAGACTTTTATTTATAATTAAACGTACAGTTAATTAATTTATAGCCTATTTTCTACATATTTTCACTTACTACAACTATGGTCTGTTAATATGAAAGATTCCATATTGTAAAAATCTTAATAAATTAAATATACTTCTCGTAATGGCGTTCAATTAAGTAGTAAACATCACAATACATCATTACCGGTCGTAGTGAATTACTTATCGCTGTTTCTGAAATAAAATGTTGTTTATTTTATATTTCAATGAATTGTTTAAGTATTTTGTAATTGTATGTATGTTATACAATATGTCTCGAAAATCGATCGCTTAGTAGTCGATTTACTAAGTTATTTATGCACTTACCAATAATTTATAGATTTAAATATATCTCTATGGGTCAAATAAATCGATAAATTGTTGCAGTTGTTAAATATTCTGTACATTTTTTAAAAATGTACAGAATATTTATAAACGAACTGTTTTGGCAGAGTATGTTTTAGTTTAAAAAATACTCCGACAAAACGGTTCGTTACATAAAACTTGGAAACAAAAATCTATCTAAGCTCCAGAAGCATTTTGAATAGCAAGTTATCATATATATATATTCCAACAGAATTCGGAAATGGCTTAGGTACTTATACATTTTAGAGATAATGAACTGTTATAGGACTTTCTTAGTCTAGGAGGCAGAGCAGTGGTCTTCAGCAGGTGCTGATAGAAAGCTGAAATGAAGATTAACGATTTTCCTTTTCGTACTAGTTGTGCGATTTGCGAGATATTACTCAATCGAGAGAGAAATTCAAAATACTGAATGTTTTCTCTGCGTAGTTTTCTACGTTACGTTATGTACACCTATAACACTAACTTTAAACATCCTTGCGTAGTACATAATACCTATATATATATTTTTTTTTGATGACTTAAGGATCATGAGATAAAATGTTCTTTACGAACACGATTTTTTATTTTATTATACTAAGAAGTAAACACTGCGTCGAGACATTAGTGAACGCATATCACAGTATATAAATTATTTAAAACTACCTACTTGAAAAATTATTGTATTATACGTCTTTTTGCAAATTTATACTAATATTATATTGTATTATAAGAATATTGTTACTAACATGTTTTCTGAAATGAAAAAAAAATTTTTATTAAATTTGTTTAGCCCAGTTTGTAATATTTTGAAGTGTAGGTTAGGAGTTAGATTTAACGTCACGTTGCATTGCGAGTGGCCGGGCCGGGCTGGGCCGGGGCAGGTTCTGGGATCGTAACCCAGTTTCGCGGGTCACACTCATGCTGTCGGCGCTAGCGAGGCGAGTTAACCCGGCGGATTGTTCATTCGTTCGGCCACTTCGCTCAAAATGGCTCAGTACTAATATGTATGAGAGGTTGCAATCGCTAAATAATGAAATAGCCATTAATTCAAGTATAAATAGCGCCCACAATAAATAAATAATGAGATATTTGAAACAAAGGTTGTGTCACTAATTGTTATTTTAACGAATGATGTTAGGTTGGTGCTTGAATTAGCAATAATGGTATGTGCTGACAGATAATATACTTAATGGGGATGAATTTAGGTCGCTTAGGCCTTAGAGGCAAATTAACTAGAAATTAATCACAAACATTTTTAGGGATGACGGCGCGAAGGTCAACAGTTGACATTGCCAGCAATGGTCCCTGTGCTAACAAGGTCATTTCCCATTTTAAAAGTCGATTAGACATCGATTTACAAGTTAAATATGTACATTATCTTTAGGATTGAAGTCACTAATAAAACGGCAGGCTTAACGTTTGCACAGTCACGACATCAGATAAAGCTGTATTTTAAACAATACGATCTAGTTATTTGTTATGCAAACAGTTGAAATCAAGATGATTCATTACGAAACTGAATGTCGCTCTGTCGTTTCCCTGTTTAGTGCTAACATTTGTTTTGTAAATATTAAACGGAAGTAAAACCAGGAAAAC